AAAAAAAAAAAGAAAAAAAAAGACAATGCCAAAGTAGGGGAAAGGTAGTGTCCACAAAAGCAGGGTGCCAAGGACCCTGGCTGCATCCAGGTCTGGTGTCCAACCTGATCCTCTTCCACACATAAGCCGAGTTCCCTGGTGCCTGAGCCTGCTCGAGTCAAAATGGCCAACATACAGCTAGAACTAGAAAAGTTTACCTCAGAAACTGAGCGATTCGGGCCATGATTGCTCCGGCCCCCGGCTGAAGCACATTTCCTGTGGACAACAAACCTTTATTCAGTGCCAGATAGTGTTCTAGACACTAAGGTACAGTTGTGAATAGTAGAAAGGGGACATTCCAGATCTTTCTTCAAGCCCCCAGCAGGCTCCCTTGGAGCTCTGGAATTTGAAGGAGCCAGTCATACAGCAGCTCGCCCCGGTCATACAATTAAACCCAGTCCCCAAGCGTTGCAAGCTCCCTTGACCTGCACCCTCCTTTCCCAAATCAATGCACAGTGGGCAGGCTGGCTGCCTGCCTTTAAAGGAAAGATGGAAAGAAGACTGTAGTGCAAAGCTTGCAGTCAAACGAACTGGTCTTGTCAGTTAGGAAAATGAATTTCTGAAAACGCACACCTCTCTGAGTGTCCTCAGCCAAACCCTGCTGGCATTTCAGACGTGGAACAGTGATTCCCCACCTAAGGATGGCCCCTACTTGATAGGAGTCTGGCCCTGTTGTATTGTTTCCAGGCTAGAGGAGTAGGGTTGGAGGTAAAGGGCTGGACTGAATGTCAAGGGGCCCTGGATTCAGGTCCAATCTCTGCAGCAAATTTCCCAGGACCTAGTGTCTCCATCTGTGAGGGGGAGGGGCTGAACTACATGGCTTTTGATGGTCCTTCTGTTGTGTGGTGGCACAGACGGGATGAGTTAAGAGAACCCTGACCCCTGTCTCCTACGCTGTCCGCAAACTCCCGTGCTTGGGTGTTAGAATGGCATGGGGACCGCTGCTTGCCATCATACGTAACAGGCAAAACGTGGTTGCGGAGGGGGCAGAAAAATGCCTGGAGGCGGGAGGGAAGGGTAGGACCGAGCCCTAAAGAAACGATTACATGCACTGCATGGAGTCCCTTGCCATTCCGGAAGGTGCCTGGAGGATGAGGAGGTGTTTGAGGAGGGCTTTGGCCGCACGGAGGGCGAGGAGGAACAAGCCCAGGGCCTGGGCAGTGTGCTCACCCACGCAGATATCCCCCAGCTGGGCCGGGCTCAGCTTCACGTCCCGGAGAACCGCGGTCATGACGGCCGAGAGAAGCTCGTCAGGGGTGGTGTCCTGCAGCGGGAGGCGCGGCCACGGTGATCCCCCGCCAGCAGTGCACGGGGTTCCCGGGACCCCCGCTCCCCCACCCCACCCGAGAGACACAGCGGTCACAGCTCGGGCGCGGAGCCACCTAGGGCGCCGAGGGGCCAGACCCCAGCCCGCTCAGGCCCGCCGTCTCCCACCCGGCGCCGGGACCCAGGGGCCTCACCTTGAAGCCGCCGCGGCCCCCTCGGCCAATGGCCGTGCGCCGCCCGTGCACCACCACCACGTCCTCGGGCGACACCCGCGGGGCGCCGCTCAAGCACGGCGTGGCCTGCGGCTCCGGCACCCCCCCAGAATGGGGGTGGCCCGTCAGGTGGCCCAGCACCACCTGCAGCCTCCGCATCGCGCGACACGGCCCAGTAGACCCTCCCCCCACCACTCCGCCGGGAACAGCGTAGACGCCAACAGACCTCCGCCCGCGCAGGCGCGGAACCCACGCTGCCCTGACGCTTTAACCCTGCTCAGAGCCCCGCCCCCAAGTCTCGCCCACCTCCCACCTCAGCCAACCAGAAGGGGTCTACCTCAGGTCCCGCCCCCTGCTTCTAATCAAACCACCTAAAGCAGAGCTCTTGTTTTGATGGAGAGTCTTTCCCCTCAAAGCCCCGAAGCCCCGCCTGCCGTAGCCCCTTCCGAAGCCCCGCCCAGAAATGCCGGCAGGAAACCTTTCCCCTTGCAGTCCTGCTTGCTTAAGAGTCCTTTCAGAGTCTTGTGTTTTTGTTTTTGTTTTTTAAGATTTTATTTATTGGGGCGCCTCGGTGGCTCAGTCAGTTAACTATCTGCCTTTGGCTCAGGTCATGATCCCGGCGTCCTGGGATCGAGCCCCACATGGGGCTTCCTGCTCAGTGGGGAGTCTGCTTCTCCCTCTGCCCTTCCTCTCCGTTTGTGCTCTCTCTCTGGCTCTCTCCCTCTCTGTCTCTCAAATAAATAATCTTTAAACAATTTTTACTTATTTGAGAGAGCGAGCCTGAGCGCATGAGCTGGGGTAGAGGCAGAGGGAGAGAATCTTAGGCAGACTCCACAATGAGCACGATCCCCACTTGGGGTTTAGATCTGTAGGCCCTGAGATCTTGATCTGAGCTGAAACCAAGAATCAGAAGCTCAACCGACTAAGCCACCCAGGCGCTGCATAGCCCTTTCAGTATCTTGAAACAAAGTCCGCCATTGCCGGGGCTGTTTCCCCTATAACCCTGCCCACTGCAGGCTACCAAACCCAGGTGCTACCAGGCCAGCACCACCCCCCAACCCGCCCGCCCACGGTTTCCTGCTTGGGGAGGAGGCAGGGACTCTTAATTCCTCTTCCCCCCCTTGTTAGTTTTCTCTGCTGTCTCCTTTATCTCAGCATCCAAGCTGGGGATCTTAAATAATTCCCAGAGGCCCCAGACTCTTACCCCGACGTGCTTGTGCTCTCTTGGGAAGTCTTTCGAGAACACAGAGGGAACTGGGGACTCTGGTGCAGCAGGAGAACAGATTGTGTTACGTTGCTGAGATGTGACAAACTCCCTATCCCTATGCATGCATCTATCAATTTTACAGTGGTTTGGGTTTATTTAATTAGTGCCCACCTCCCACACTAGGCTGGGGTCTCCACCGAGGCAGGGAGGGGCTTGTATCCGGGGTGCCTGCAACATGCTTGACACTTAGTAGGTGATCAATACCGATTCAATGGAAGACCAGAGCTCCTTAGGTCAGGACTGTGCTTCCCAACCTCCCGCCCCCCACAACTCTAAAGAGCAAGGCCAGGTGCCCCCTTGACTCCCAATGGTAATGCGTTCCCTCGACCCCAGAGAGTAATGGTACTGCGTTTCTCCTAGACACCAAAGGCCAGGGTGCCCTGTTACCCCCAACCCCAGAGGGGTTCCCACCTTTCAAAGGCAGGGCCATGGCATGCCTCAGACTTCAGAAGGGAGTATACCCCCTTTCCCATCTCACCTCTGGATTGTGCCTTCCCAAGAGATGCAGGGACGAACATGGGGGGGTCTCCTCCTTTGCCCCCTCCCCGCCATCCTCAGTTCCCCCACAGAAAGGATGTGATTCTACCAGATAGATCCCAAAGAGCAAGGCCCCTATTTCCTACAGCCCCCAAAGGAGGGTCGTGCGAGGCCCCTCCCGCCCCCGCACTAGACCCCGAAGGACGGGTCGGTGGGCCTCCACAGACCTCAAACGGCAGGTCCCCGGTTCCCATATCCCCTGTTGCCCCAGACCCCGAGAGCCGAGATGGGGCATCCCCACCTTCACACAGCTGCTAGGGCTCCAGATTGAAGCGCAGGGCGGAGCTTCTCGGAAACAGAAACCGGCGGGGCTGGGCCGGGGGCGGGGATGGCGGTAAAGGAAGGAGGAAGCGCGGACAGGCGACGCAACTCCACAGCGCTGGGGCTCCGGGGGTATCCCACCATGGCTGCAGAAGTCTCCCGCGCGGAGTCCGCGTCCCCCGCCTGCTCCATGTCCTCCCTGCCGCTGGCTGCTCTCAACGTGCGAGTGCGGCGCCGCCTGTCGCTGTTCCTGAACGTGCGGACGCAGGTGGCGGCCGATTGGACCGCGCTGGCCGAGGAGATGGGCTTCGAGTACTTGGAGATCCGGCATCTGGAGACGCACGCCGACCCCACGGGCAAGCTGCTGGACGACTGGCAGGGACGCCCTGGCGCCTCGGTGGGCCGCCTGCTTGAGCTGCTCACCAAGCTCGGCCGCGAGGACGTGTTGGTGGAACTGGGGCCCGGCATCGGTGAGGACACGCGCTTCCGGGCCTCATAACTAGGGGGATGAGGGAGCTGACCTTCACCAGCCTCAGCATCTAACCTCCCCTGGAGAGGCCCTCCTTTAATGCCTGGGGCGGGGTGGGGGCGCTGGAGGCAGCCTGCAGAGGTGGTACCGCTGTGTGAGACCAATTCCCTCTTTGAGTGGGGCGATAGGACCTGGAGAAAGGAGGTGAAGGCTGGGGAGAGGCAGAGAACACAGGGAAACATCTTAGGCAAAGGCTTTCACGTAGGGCCAGGAGTCAGAATCGGGGTCCTTTGTGGGGGAGTTAGGACTGCTTCGGGTAGAGCAACAGGGCAGGTGAGGGACTGAAAGCTGTCATGGAAACCTCATGTGCCTGGGAAAGTGCACCCCTTCCTGCCCCTCGCTGACACATAATATGCATGCATAGGTGTAAGAACAGTGGCCCACAGATGATGCATCTTGCTTGGTTGGGGCCTCAGCCCTCACTGCACATAACCACTGGGTCTCCTGAGCTGTTCTTGCATGCCCAGTCCCCTGCTCCCATCAGCCGTGGGTCCTGGAAGAAGCACACTTTGGGTTCTGTTCTCAGGAGTTCTAGGAAGGAGGGCCAGGACAAAGGGACAGAAAGACACAAGCCTGACCATGACGACTTCCCAGATGGCCAACACTGTGGGATGGTCAAGAGCCGGATGGGAACGCAACTTTTCAGAGCTGTTGAACTGTGGATGGCACCAGAGTGCTGGAAAAGGCCTGGAGCACAACATAGTTAAGGGAGTGGGACAAGGGCTGGATCCTAACTGTAGGTAGAGGCATGGGACAAACTGGGGGAGCCTGCCACACCTTGTCTCTTCTCCACAGAGGAGGATTGCCAAAAGTATATTCTGAAACAGCAGCAGGAGGAGTCTGAGAAGCCCTTACAGGTGCCTGCTGTAGACAGCAGTGACCCACGGACACCAGAGCGGGGGGGCATCACCATGCTTGATGACCCCTTGGGTAAGGATACAATATTGCTCCCCAGGTGTGACAGGTGGGTCATAAGATACTGTGTTAAGAGCATCGATTTTGAAAGCAGGTGGGCTGTGGCCCCTTAATCTCTTGATCTCTCTGATTGATCTCCCCATTTTCTCATCTAAGAAATGGGAATAATAATAATCCTACGTCTGAGTTGGTATGAGACTCATGAAATGATGTGTCTGTCTCATGGTCAACCCAGGGCTTGGCCCCCGGAGTGGGGAGGGTGGGGGGAGAGACACTCATCTTCCCTCTTCTAGGAAGGGCACTTTCTCTTAGTGTCATCTCAGGATTGGTGTAGGGTTCAGGACCAAGGTCACCTAGGCTGGGGGTTCCTGCCTGGGCTCCTCCTCTGTAGAGCTTTGACATCACCCTTGTGCTCTGCACCCAGGGCAAATGCCTGAGCGTTTTGATGCCTTCATCTGCTACTGCCCCAGCGATATCCAGTTTGTTCAGGAGATGATCCGGCAGCTGGAACAGACAGACTATCGGCTGAAGTTGTGTGTGTCTGATCGTGATGTCCTGCCTGGCACCTGTGTCTGGTCCATTGCCAGTGAGCTCATTGAGAAGAGGTTGGCTAAGTGGCCAGGGGGCAAGCGGGTGGGTACATAAAGCCCTGCCCAAGAGATCCAGATGCTCGGATTCTCCTAGCCGGGCCCTGTCTAGCCTGGGCACAGTGGACTCCTGAGTCTGTGCCCTGGGGGGTATGCTGAGCTAGGTTGCCACAGTGGCTGCAGCCTGCCCACTCTCCCCTAGGTGCCGCCGGATGGTGGTGGTTGTCTCTGATGATTACCTGCAAAGCAAGGAATGTGACTTCCAGACTAAGTTTGCGCTCAGCCTCTCTCCAGGTAAGCACTGCTTTGCCACAGAGGAGTGGGTGGGCGGGGCCTCAGGAGGCCATTGGTCCCTCACCCAGGGCCCTGGATGCAGCACTGAGGAACTCCTGTAGGTTTCTGCACACCTGAGTGTGCGTGCACACGAGTGCCCTCTGAGTGGGTGAATGTGTGCCAGGGTGCTTAGTTGGGGGGAGGTCTGTTGTTAACCCCTGGGCGGAGGACTGATCCCCCCACTCTGGGGTGAGGGCCAGGTGCCAGCTCGGAACTCCTTGGCTTGCAGGTGCCCATCAGAAGCGATTGATCCCCATCAAGTACAAGGCAATGAAGAAAGAGTTCCCCAGCATCTTGCGGTTCATCACTGTATGCGACTACACCAACCCCTGCACCAAGTCCTGGTTCTGGACTCGCCTCGCCAAGGCCCTGTCCCTGCCCTGAAGACTGCCGTGGGCCCCTGGGTGTGTGTGCATCTCTCTGTCTGCCCGTACGTGTACTTCTGCCCCTGCTTCCTCCTGCAGTTGTAGGAGTAATCTGTGCTCCACTTGCCTCTCATTCCTGGAGATGCCGACTCCACAGACATATCTGTAGCCACCCTACATAGCTGTGGACGTTGCATCTCATGTCCTGCACGGAACCAGTGGCTGTCAGTGGCACGTTGGCACGTCCGCAGGCTGGGTTATCAGCCAAGACAGTGAAATCCAGAGCCAGCTGGCACTAAGAGGACCAGCGGAACCAGCCCTGACCTGCCCAACACATCTTAGGCCTCAGTTTCTCCACCTGAGAACTAAGTAGGGTGGGGAGAACTGGCAGTAGCTGTGTTTGAATCACTCTCGAGGGGGCTTAACCTTGGACAAAGGTGGGACACATTTATATTCCTTTTCCCTTTTTTTCCCTCTTCATTGAAACCTAACTCTGGAAAGAGCCCAATGTGCCAGCACTTGTGCCTTCAGTGAAGCACAGAGCAAGTAAGAGAGCCGCTTGAACTCGCAGAGCAAGTAAGAGAGCCGCTTGAACTCGCAGAGCGAGTGAGCTGCAGACTTCCCTCCCAGGGGATTTGTATACTAGTTATCTTCAAGCTCTCCTCGGGCGAGAAAATGGCATGGGCTCAGGGCTCTGTCCCAGGCCAGACCCCAGGACCCTAAATCTAATCGAAAAATGTGTCTTTGCTGCTCCACACCCAGCCAGGGCTAGGGCAAGGTACCTTTCCTCAGGGTCTTGGGACTGGAGGCCCCTCTCTGCATGATCTTGATGAAGCACGTAGCTAACTGTGCACTTATCCTCACTTTGATCTTGGGGATTATTTTAAAACAGTTTGAAAAAAAGTATCTTTCATACCTGTTTTGTATGCACTGTGAGAACTTCAGAGAGCTGAGATATGCCCTATGTGTGTCCTTTCTCTTCTGTATCCTGGGTTTATAATAAAGAGTTCTTTACTTTTGGAATAGCAGGTGTCACTTGTGTCTGGGGGTTTAGAGGCAGTAACCTGGGATAAAGCTCTCCTGGTAAGAGAAATTGGCCCATTGGGTAGGCTCCAGTGGGTTTGGCAGGGGCTTCCTGAAGGCTGGGCCTCCTCCTCACAGGTCCCAGGCCTCACCAGGGCTGTAGGCAGAACCAGGAATAGGGACCTCAGTTCCAGACTCTGGGGAGACTGCTCCCCTCCACCAAGCTTGGTCTTCCCTGGATTGTGTCACGTTTCTGGGTCCTCGTTTGGCCCTTCTAGTCTCCAAGGAAAGTCTGGAGAACTTCCAGCCCACAGATCTCTGGAGAACTCAGTTATCAATAATGGTCATCCTTAAGCATATCTGTGTTAATCCTGAAGATTTTGATCTATTTTTACTTTTATTT